CGCGATCGGGGCTCTTTTCCGGAAAAGCGCGTCTACATTGGCCACAGATGCTTTTCCGGAAACATGGCTTTTCCGGAAAAGCAGCCTGCCAATGTAGACGCTCCTTTTCCAGAAAAACTGAAAACGGAATAGTATTCCGTTTTAAGCATTTCCGGAAATTCATGCCAGTGTAGACACAGCCTAGATGCTTACAGGGTTAAGTCGTCAAACTGCCTTGCATCAACCTAACTTGGCAGTGTAGACACTAAGAAATATAGCTCCCCCAAGAACTTTCTGCCTTATCCTTGTGTCTTCTTACCATATGGTTCCTTCTATCTTATCTATATCTACTGATGGTATCTTTACCCATCGTGGGCCAAGATTCTGTGGCCCTTTCTCATGTCCTGTAGCACCTGCTTTTGAAATAGGTAGGAATACCTGCAATGGGATTGTTAGCAGTGTCAGGATTACTCCATGTAAGTTAAGGTGGCAGTATTTTTATTTTCAGATAGAAATAGGACAGTTATGAGACATGCATTATTCACTCAAAAGACCACACCCATCACTTTCTCTCAAGCAGACACAACCAGACTTATGTCCATATATTTTTTGTTTTTTAAACAACAATCATACTATTCAACCCATAATACATCCAAGAGCATATCTATTCAATTACACATTAAGAACTTAATGAAGTATGCAAATCTTTTGACCAAGCTATGCCACATCAACTATAAAATTACCATATTTTACACAATGGTACATTACATATGCAGGATAAAGTAATATATGTACTTGTCATATATTACTTGTGAAACTGTTAAGCAGAGTCTCTCTCTCTCTCTCTCTCAGAGAGAGAGAGCACAGATTCCTTCATCACCAAGCAAATGGCCATTCAAAGTTTACATTAAGAAATGTAAGGCATTTACCTGAAAGGGGGGGTGGGTATGTGTATTCGTTCAAAGTATTTTTTCAGAACTTAAACATTTTCAATTTGTTGGTGTCATGTTCTTTTTAAAATGGTGTATGTGAGCAGAATGTGTCAGAAAAGATACAGAAGTAGCTTTTCAATAACAGTAAAAGTAACTATACGTTTTACAGTATTAAATAAAACCAATTTCTTCCAATGATAGCCACTATGACAACATTATTCTTGCCCTTTTCTTTCTCTCACATACACCATTTTAAAAACATGCACAATGTGTCAACTTCAATAAAAGCAACACACATTCACCTGGAGCTGCTTTAACAAAGTATTTTTCCTAAAGTGTAAAATGTAAAAGACCAGAAAAATCAGTTATCTATGTGCAATGACGTCTCAGCATCTAACAATGGATATACTGAAAATTAAAAATGCGAACCACTGAGCCTATAATTCTCAGTGACCGACTGTAAAGTTATCTACAAAGTCTGCATTAAAACTTTACAATTTATTGGGCTAGACTTTTAAACAAAAAAATAAAGATTCATGCAATATTTTTGAAATATAAAAGGCTAGTACACAATTTAAAATCCATTTTCCACTCTTCTGGATTAAACTATGCTCTTTCAATGTAAGAAATACGATTATGCATGAAACCAATCTAGTACGTACAAGTTTTATAGGTTAAATTTTAGAAAGTCCGACAGAACAAATAAGTTAATTATAGCTGGCATCTCTGATTCACTGATGAAATGTGCATTACTTGCAGCAAAACATATCTGTCAGCCAAAAAGAAAGGGCTACAGGATTTAGAAATCTAAACAAACAAAAAACAAACACCACAGAGGAATCAGCAGCAGCTTTCCAGGCTATATAAGAACTTAAAGAGCTTTTAGTGAATGGGTACCAGCTAATTAATCTTGGAAAAGAGACAATCTAATATATGCATAGCACTATAGGAGTTACATTAGTTTAAACTAAATAATTATTTCTAAATAAACCCCACATTATTACATTTGTAGAAATGGGCAAAAAGAAGTTTGCACTAAATATTCACATGTGGCATGGTTACTTTTATGAGGTCAAGCAACATGCTGCATCAAGCAATAGTATATGCAGAACTCACAACCTGCCATTCCCTGGCCAATACCCCTCCAAGAATCAGGCATACTGTCTCAGAAGTCCCTCTGTTGGTAGCACTCTTGCCTCTCTGACTAACGTTCACATGGTAGTCCTTCGGGCCCTATCAAAAACTGGTGTTGAGGGGTTCCTTCAGGGCTGTAGTGCCTCTCCAGCTCCTCTGCAAAAATGAATGGTTTAATGTATTGAATAGGGAATTTGAGGTGTTGTAAAGGAAGATGGGCCCTTAAAAAGAATTTACAAAATTAAAAGTTTAGAAACTTTTGTTTGGAAAATTTGTGTTTTTTTTCCATCTAAAGAATAAAGACACTTCTTTACTCTAGCTCTTCACGGGAAGAGAGAAATTTGTTGACAAGGATATTTGATAAATGCAACATATTGGCCTGTGCCATGTCCCTAAAGTCAGACAAGGCTGTTTTCACCATCCAGTCTGATCTCTTGTTTGATGCACACCATAACATTTTATCCAGAGATTCCTCAATGTAGCCCTAAAACCTGAGTGTCTATGACAGACTTTCTTGTTGAAAATCATCCAGTAGTGATTTAAAGACTTCAGATAATCGAAAATTTACTAGTCTTTGGCAATCAGTTTCAATTGTGACTCTCATTAAAACTTTGCATCTTCTTTTCAATGGGAACTTTATTAACATAGCTTCAGCAGAGTAGCCGAGTTAGTCTGTAACAGGAAAAACTTTAAAAATAACGAATAGTCTAGTAGTACCTTAACAACTAACAAAACATGTAGATGATATCACAAGCTTTCATGGGCAAAACCCACTTCTTCAGATGACTGGAAGTATTAGAAGTCCAGCTCCAAGAATAAATTTATTTATATAATCCCTATTCTGTTGACACTTGTTGCCTTGGAAATATTTTGTTATACCTGAAGTATGAAAACTTCTCTCTAAAAATCAATTGTGATACTAAGATACATTTTCTTGACTACACAGTTTGTTCTGCCGATTCACTACAAGTCTGTATTAAAGCAATAAGTTAAAAAGTAAATTCACAGTACTACTCCAGAAGGTAAACCATGTGTTTAGTCAAACATGTTTGTGGAGAAAAAAATAGATGTTTAAAATAATAACACAAGATTATGAAAAGCTTGAGATCCAGAAATATTCATACAAAATACAGTAGTCATTGTAGAGCCAGGAAGTCTAGTTGAAACCAACCTGTTATTTGGAGTATTTATAAAGAAAAAAAATTGTCTGCTCTGAAATGACACTTTCTTTTTTAGAGCTACATAAACAGTATGACAATCTTAACTAAAATACTCAGTCATTTTATGTGCTCGGGTAAGATTTTAAGTCAATGACCTAATGTTCTGTGTTATATATCAAACATATGATATTGCACAGAATTGGTTTAATTATAACTACATGGTATTACTACTGTGTAGATCAACAAAGATTATTAAGAAATCCCAAGCATTTCATGAGCATTTTAATATCGGTCCTAGAATTGCCAGACTTAAACGGCACTGTTTACATGAATTAAGGCCTGACTTAGAAGAGCTGAGCATTCATAACACTAAGTTAATGGTAGTTGGGGATGTTCAGTAGTAGGCCTTTTGTTGTCCCTGCAGCATCGTGGTGCCTCTGACTCCATTGCTGAGCTGATCAATAACCTGAAAGAGAGCTCATGGCACTTTTTCCGAGCCTAGCTCTAAGCCCCGTTTCTTTCACCATTGCACCCCTCTTGAAGAAGAGATGCAGGGAGGATGTTGGAAATCAAGCAGTCAGTATTCTGCCCTCTCAGACTCTGCCAATGTGGAAAATACTCTATATGCATGGATCAACAGAAAACAACTTTGACTTCAGCAATCAGAACTTTCTTAGCAACACTTATGCAGAACGGTCTGTCAATCTTTAGCCCTAGCATGAAAGTAGTGGTTTTCCACATGGCTGCTCCTGAATACTGGCTTCTAGTCTGACACTTTTTTGGTGGTGCCAACTTTCTAAAAGGTGCTACAGCTATTGAAATTACTTGTAAATGTACTTAGGGCCTCAAATCTCTGAGCTATTGCTCTAAAAAAACGTGCTCACCTACCTAATGCCACAATTCTAGAGTGTTATGGAAATTTTCGGGTACTAGTGGGCCGTATGTAAAACGATGTGGGGGGGAGGAATGGTATTGCTGCCTGTGGGAACTGCTCTGTTCCTGACAACAGACCCTGTTCCTCCCTCTCCAAGATCCCTTTTTCCTTTTCTGGACCAATACTAGGAGCATAATGAACAGAGAGTATCAGGGTTACAGATCTGCATGGTATCCCCTCTGCCTTCCCCATTTAGCTTACTTGGGGAACATGCACACTTTCTCCTTCAGCCAGCCAGAACTCTTCCCTTTATCCCACCCTATTGGCCAACAGTTTCAGCTACTCCACACTGTTCTTCTGCCGAGTGTAGAAATGGTTTCCCATTTCTCCTCTTGTTTTTTCTGCAGCACTAAGCCAGTGACATTTCCAGCCTGCACAATGGAAAATCCTGTCTTAACATGCAAGTTCAGTAACCTGTTTCAGATGATCATCTATTTTGAAGGAGTTCCTTCGTGACTCATGCTTCGCAGTGTTTATTGCTTTTACCCAATAGTATCTCCATTACCAGAGAGAAATAAGATCACCCTAATCTGGGCATATGACTATTAAGAGCAGTTCTTCTGGTTCTGGGAGGCAGCAGGCTGTAGGGACAAGAGCAGTCCTGGATCTGAATGTAGCAGCCCACATATACATAGATTTATGAAACAGTAAAGCAGGGTACCACAATGTTTCATGTGTCCATGCAGCTCTTATAAATTAGGGATCAGTTTAGGCGGCCTCTTAGGCTATATCTAGACTACATCCCTCTGTCAGCAGAAGGATGTAAATGAAGCACTTCAAAAGTGCAAATGAACCCGGGATTTAAATATCATGTGCTTCATTTGCATAATCACAAAATGGCACTCTTTCGAAAGCGCTATTTTGAAATTGAAACCGCAGTCTAGACTCGGTTCTTTCAAAAACAGGGCACTTTTTTGAAAGATCCTGTAAACTGTAGGCTCCTGTTTGACTCTAACTCTGAATTAGACTGGTAAAACCAAGCTGGGAGTGCAAGGGGTTGGCATGAAGCAAAGATGTGCAAAAGCAACACTTGGACTTGGTTTTGTGTGAGACTACACCCTAACCATTTCTCTCTCCTCTTCAAATATTTGGATCTGGGCAATCTTCATACATAAAAAACCAAAGCCACTCTTGTTGCTTCAGAAAAGTGAAGTATGTGTAAGGCATCTTTCTTGGCCTCCCTTTCTGGAGACTAGAAAAGCTTTGATCAAAGAAAGAATGTGTAAATCAAGAAAGGAGGGAGACAAACTCCTATTCACTGCATATTTGTTTCAGAAATTCTTAAAAGGTATGCAATTTACTGTTGCAGGAGGCTGAGGCAACAGTAATTTAGATAATTATGAGTGTCATCAGTAACTATTCTATTGCATAAGAGGACTCTTGCAAGAAACACTTCCTCACATAACATTCACCACCCTTCTAATAAATGAGTACACAGTTTAAATTTCCAAAAAAGAAGTTTGACAAATTTTTCAATGACTATATCATTCATTTTATATAAATAAACAATCTCTGATTTTTTTTTAACCAAAGAGAATGGTTTTACAAAAACAGCTTCCAAAAGAGTGTCTTTTTGTACAAAAATTGAAAAGTTTTAAGAATGACTTATTTCACCTATTTATCGAATATCATTAAAATCACAAGCAATCCTCCTTTCTGTTATCCTTCTCATCTTGGCAGTAACTGATAAGGAAGATTTCAGGGAGGCTCAGTCATTGATGGCAGGATCTAGAAAAGAAATAATTTTGTACACAGTTATCATTCCCATCCACAATTTCTAGCTATTGTATTTCACTAAAAGCACTTAGGTTCCTTCTCCTACCAGCATCAACACAATGCACAACCGGCTTCATACAAAATTAATGATTATTGTTATATTGCATCTTATACCATGACAATTTTTCAGAGATTGCATCTTACCTGGTTACAACTCAAACGGTGAAGTTGGAAGAGTTCTATAAAAACCTAATATAAATTGCTAATAGAAATCAGCTGACATCAGAAGACATATGAATATGTAGTATATTACTTATAGGATGCAGCTGAATATTCTTCTATTCCTCAAGAAAGAAATATCCTTTCTTCCCACAATGTGGATGAGAAGGGCTAAAATTTATGATAGAACATATCATGCTGCATGTCCTCCCAAAAACTTCAGCTTGCCCAGCCAGATGATGGGTAGGCAACATATCTAGAGGAAAGGAGAACAAGGAATGCTTTAACCCCTTCCCCTGCCCCCACACACCTCTGAACTTTGCATAACTAGGATCATTGCAATGCATCGTAGAAGATTTGGTGTAGTACCATCTCACTTTCAAAACACACAAAGAGATCAATAACACTATCATATTGCAACTTTCACGGTAAGATCTACTTTCACTCTGTTGAAATTTTTGCCACCTTCCACACTCCGGAGTCTCCTCACATATATTACAAGATAAAGCCAGCTGAAGTTTGAGGAAGGTAGGAGAAACCATCACAAAGCAAAATGATTTCATTATTTCTCTCACCGTCCACATGCCTATTGATTCACTGTGTTGACCTGATGTTTAGGATTTCTGCTGCTGCCTTCCAGCAGCATTTATGTGAATATAAAGAGTAAGGATCTTCATCCAAGCAGGAAGTTAGTTGCCTTGTTGATTAGCAATCACATCCTGTTTCATACAGAGCAGCTTAACTAAGGAAAGGAACATATGGTTCTTAAAAGGGGCATCAAAATAAATATGACAGGTCAGTGCAAACAAGAGATCAAACGAATGAGAAGTGTGCCATATCTAAAATTAAATGTGCACACATAATAAAGATGCAAAAAGAGACAAAAAAGCTACTCTGATTTCTGAATTATTCATGAAGCATGAAGCTCCAGCTGTTGCCGCCATCCCAAGGACATTTCACATTGGGAATGAAGCTTTATGTTAAAAAGTTAATTTTTTTCCTATAAAAAGGAAGAGAAACAACCAGGTGAGTTTTTAAAGAGAAGTGTTCACTTTATCACCTTCTTCGCAAGCATTTAAAAGGTAAAATACTTACAAAGTCAATTCAAGTTTGATTTCTTTGCTTATCTCCTACAGGTTCTCTAATTCTAGACACTTACATTTGAACCTTCCATGGAATTTTTATTCAGTATGGTCATGTGGGAATCTTTGAGCATCATGTACCTTTCGCTTTTTTTTTTAAATGTCATCTCTTATGACTTAGTGAGACCTCTGTACTGCCTTACATTTCAGAAATACACTTGATTTTTTTATTAATTTTACACCAGCCATTAGCCATTATAGATCAAATACAAATATACAATTTGTTGAAAGGTGTACTGTTTACATAGCAAGCATGACCTCTTCTGTCCCAAGCACATATGACAGCACAAGACAGAATGAGAGGATGCAAACACTAGGATGACTCTTACAAAGAGTCAGCGTAACATGGTGCTGCTACACAAACAAAGAGCTCTCCCAGCTGCCTTGGGAAGCCAAAGGATCTCACTTCCAGAGCAAAATTATTTAGCAACTATACATTTACCTTTGCTTATTGTGATTTTTTAAAAATTTTGCTTTCTTCTTCCCCAAAAGAAAATCATCCTTCCCTATTCTCCTTAGACCTTGTCCATCCCACCCCCTCCAGCATGATTTCTAATTTCAAAATACCTACAAGTGCATTCCTACCTAGGCAAGAAGGTACTATACAAATATGGGTGCTGTACACAGAAGAGAATGTTTGTAGACCAGCAGACATTGCATAGATTTGGGAGGGAGAGAGCAGAGTGAAGTGGATTTTGTGGCTACAGTACTTCCTTGAAATCAGATCCATTTTTCACATATGCTTCACCACTTTAGCCCTGAACCTCTACAGCTAGCTACCTGAATGGAAATAACTTTTACAGCATCTATAGCTCTTCTTTGAGCTTACAGACAGGAAATACAGCCTACATCTCGAATGCAGATTTTTATTAATTGGGGAGTATGTCTATACTTCTCCTCTGTGAGCCCACTATAAGGCAGCTATAGTTTACATATTTTTTACTTTTAATTTTGTAACTTCTTTTGGGGCAGCTGTGTTATTTCATGTTACTGCATATTTTAGAAATGTGTGTCTGCCCACCACCCAGGCCTGCAGGTCCCCACCACGGGCTAGTCCCATGGAGACCCAGGGTGTGCACCACTTTCCCTGAGGAGAAGCTGGTAGCCAGGGTGTGTGGCCCCCACCCCACAGACAAAGTGGCAGTCGTCCCCGAGTTGGGGGTGGTGGGCTGGGCTAAGCTGATGGCTACCCCAACCCTGTGCTACCCACACCTTCCCCTGAGCTCCCCTTCCTCACAACTTCCTGCCCTGGCTGTTGAATCCCTACCCCCTGAACCCCTCCTCATCCCCACCCTGGACTCCCAACCCCCCACATCTCCAGCCCCCTGCCCTGAGCCCATCCTCAACCTCCCAACCCTGACTCCTGCACCCTCCACACCACCAGTCCCCTGCCCTGAAGGACCCAGGAAATGCCAGGTAAGTATATAATGGGGGGGGGGGGGGGGAGAGAAGAGGGCAATAAGAGACAAAGCAGACAGTGAACATTAATAAAAAAAGACCATAATACTTAAAAACTTGAGCGCCCATACTTTCCATGTATATTTGCACAAATGTTGGTTGTCAAAGTTGCATGCAAGCATCCCACTTCAAGAAACCGGCACAGCCTGTATTTCAGGTGGATATGCTACCACTCCAACCACGTCTCATGAGTTTTATATCTCTATACTATTAGGCTACGTCTACACTGGCCCCTTTTTCGGAAGGGGCATGCTGGAAATCCGCGGGGGATTTAAATATCCCCCGCGGATTTAAATAAACATGTCCGCCGCTTTTTTTCCGGCTTGGGGAAAAGCCAGAAAAAAAGCATCTAGACTGGCCCGATCCTCCGGAATAAAGCCCTATTCCGGAGGATCTCTTATTCCCACTTTCAAAATTAGCATGCCCCTTCCCAAAAAGGGGCCAGTGTAGACGTAGCCTTACACAATGTACTCAACTGTACAGTTTGGTTAAGTAGCTAAACAAAAGCCTTGTGCATGGGTGCTTACTATTTTAAGTAAGTGGGTTTTGAAAGCATCTCTCCTCCTAGATAGCTATTGGAAAAAAAGAGATTCATGAAGAATCTAAAAATTAAGCAAGTTTTTGAGACCGATAATGTTTCTCTAAGGTCTCGCTCCATTTTTACAACTACAACTACTATCTCAGAACCTTCCAATTACCAAAAACACCCCAAAGATTTGAACCAACACCCATTGAAACAAATGGAATCTTTCCACTGATCAGCTCCTAAATGAACCTGGGGATGAACAACTTTAGGTGCGTATATAAAGAGGATTCCCTTGCCTAATTTTCTTCCTTCTTTGCTACTGAACATTGACAGGTAAAACAGACACACACGCCTACACTGCTTTCCACTACTACTTCTTGCCTTTTTCCTCCTTTGTCAGGGTTTTGTCCTTTTACCTTTTTTTAAATTACAGCTTTGTGAGAGCTGAATTTAGGAGTCCAAATAAAGTCAATTGTATTTTAGATCCTAAAATGCTCACAGAGCTATAACTGATGCAAGTAAGAAAAACTATTTCTGCCAATCACCTACAAGACTGGTAATCATGTTCAAGTACTTTGCATCTCCTTTTGGGCATCGTTTACAACAACCAAAAGTCTCCCACAAACACCATGAAGTAGGTGAACTTGCTGGATGGTCTCAATGCACCTGCTCTCCAGTTACAATCCACATGGCAAAGACGACTCAGAATGCATCTACACAGCACCCTTAGCTCGAAATGAGTGACACAATTTGCACCATGCAAGTCACGTAGCTTATTTTGATTGTATTTCAAAATAACTTATTTGGTAATTTGGCGCTGTGTAGACAGAACTAAATTTTGAAATAACTCGCTATTCTGAAATTCCCCTTAATCCTCATGGAACAAGGGTTACCAGGATGCTGGAATAAGCTGCCCGTTATTTCAAAATCTATTTCAAAATAACAGGCTGCTCCAAAAGATATAGAATGCCTATTTTGGGATACTTCTGGTATCCTGAAATAGCACCACAACAGAGATATACCCTCAGCATGTTTAGTGGCACAGATTATATACAGGCCTGGCCTAGTGTTCCAACTAACCAGCCATATGCTGAGGGGGATCTATTTCTAGTACAGGCAGCAGGGTCAAAGCTACCGCCTAACTAGAAACAGGACAAACAGACTTTCAGGCCGAGAACACATCAGTTTATTTCTGAATGAAGAAACTTCCTCTTTGTTCAATGCTTCGAGCTGGGGGCATAGCAGAGCTCATGCAACATCACTCAGGAATCATGTGGCTAAACAGATTTTTCCTTCCTTTCTTCTTGTTGCTGCTAGGAAAGCTCCTAAACACAGAGGGGACATTCCTTCCTAACTCCTTGCATTAGCCACACAAAAGTGCAGAAATGGACAGAACAGTCATGGAGAGCACTTGGGACACCTTAAAAATACTCCCAGAACTACCCGAGGCCAACCAGTCCAGCCTTGGTCTTGGTTCCAGATTCCCTTCATTTTTACTGTGATTCTACTTCTGCAATTGTAATTACTACCTCTCAACTATTTTGTCAGACAGCCAGGTTTCCAAGCGCAAGCCCAGCCTCTTGCAAACTAACAGATGTAACTCGTATCAGATCCTGCTTCAATTTGCTGAGTGAAACCGGAATGTGCACCTCCTATTCCATGACTGCCATTTAACCCCAAGAGATTACCAAATTGTCTCCTGCAACATTGGAAGAATTTTTTTTCACCTTCATAAAGACAGGAAAACATCTTCCTGCCAAGAGAGTTTGACACACTAATTGAATTGAAGTGCAATCTGCATTCACGAGACATTATCTGTTACCCCACAGTTACAGACTGATTAGATGATCCTAACCACAATATTATTTGTGAAATTAACCAGGATACACACCCACATTGATACAAATGAAGCCCTAGACACACCCCTACCTAAATTACTTGTACATACATATACATATATATATATATACATATACATACACACACACACCTCGTTACTCAGCCTTAGACACCATACATATACTCAAAACCTGGATTTAAAAAAAAAATAATAATTCCACCATATGATCAACACAAACTGCAATACGAAAACAGCATCTAAAGTTCTGTATGAGAGGGGTCATGGCTCAAGCAGCTATAAGATGCTATGTACACCTATAATACTGCATAAATTATATTAATTTAAATGAAATCTCAATTGAAGATTCTCATTTGGTAAGAGGCATGTAATGCTACAAGGCACAAAACACATACATCATGGTAACTAAGATTTATGACATTGAACCAAGGTTCTTATAAAACCTTCCTTTTAAATTGTTAAAAGACTCAACATACAAAATAAACATCAGTATGCTCAAGGACACTTGGAAATATACAATTCATTACAAATTTTGTTTTGATGTTTCCATGATTACATTTGTGAAACACATTGAAGAATGCCACTAGGCTGGCTGAATAATATTTTTTTTCCGCAAAATACATCGATACTTACAGTTTTTCTACCTCTCTTCATAGTACTCATTAAAAACAATTGTCTGATCTGCTGAACTCTTTGAAACTGAAGAAAAGGAATTGGCAAGAAGTTATTCTGTTGTTAGGCTGTATTTTATTACTGTTTAAGAATGAGTGTTTATAAGACCATGCATTTTCAGCCAACCTACAGTAAAGAATGAAAGCTTCTCGCTACAAGCTAAAAGAAAGTCTTTACCCTGCTCCTTGAAGAGCTCATTTTCACATTACTCAGGCTTCATTATGCTGAATCAATATTCGTTTAGTCACTGGGGTTATTGACATATTTTAAAATAAAAGTATACCCTTCAGCTACTGCACTCATTATAGGTAATTTGTCTTGTCAGGGAGCAGGGAATATTATCCCAGTCTTTCAGGGGCTGACAGCCTATGGAAATACCTCCCCATGGTTACAACTGTAAATAATTTTAAGGTAAAATATTGAAAAATCAATGACTGTTTCCTGCAATCTGTCACAAACAAATCAATCATAATCTGCACAGCCAGAGAGTATGATTTGAAGGAAATGAGAGCAGATGTAATTCTTGGCTGGAATCTCTCATTTCAAAATCACTTCACATAATGGTGTCATCATTTAAACACTTAGCAGTCACTGCAACCGCCACTCAGAACATCCAGTTGGACAAAACCAGAAGGAAGAGGAGGAGAAGATGCCTTTGCTTTTGTGTAAGCAAACATTTAATTTAAATGGTTGTTGCATTAGTCAATTTCACAGACAGAAGAGCTATGCTTGTTCCCATGCAGAAACTGAGCTAATCAATGTTGATCTTCCACATATTCACTGTAAATTAGCATTTGAAGATGTAATGAGTATTAAGAGGAACTGAAGCTTGCTTTTTAACATAAACCAACAAATCAGATATTAATATTCAGCCAACAGTATTGCCAGATATATCCCTCCATCTTCAAATTCACTCTCTCAAGCTAGTTCATTAGAGAACTAGAAAGGAAAATTGTCCATAAGCACTTTGTCTTTAAGGACAAAGAATTTCTGTCCATCACATATTCTATTTCAACTTCAAATTTTCATTATGTATAGAACACGTAGAGAACCAAAAAATAATAACCCAAATAAATTAAATAGAAACATATTCTCATATTGCATTCAGAGATTAACTATTATATACAGAATTATGTTTGATCTATTTATACATAAGAATTCATACTATGTAGTTAAAGAGCTATTAACTGATATTTGTAAGTAAATCATTTGTGTAAAATTAAACTAACCTATTTTGTAGAATGATGCTAATATCCAACAAGTTATTTGTTCATTCATTTTTCTTTTCTAACAGATTTAATTTCTTGATATTCTGAAAGGTCTGACACTTCCGTGGACCTTAATGGAGGCATAAGAGATTAGTTGCAGCAAACAGAAAAAAGGGCCTAATTCACTAAGGTGGTCAGGAGAATCACTATGTACAGGGCACACAATTCATTTCAACCATATTAGCTGTATCAGATTCTTATTTGTGAGCATTTTTGTTTACATTTATCTCAAACAAAAGTCAAAGGCAGATATTTGCCTGCAGGTAAGAAAAATTCATCTTTTTCTCCATAATAAATATTTATAATATTAGGGCATATTTTACACCTAGCTAAGATCACTGGAATGTAATTATACTTTTAAAACCATTTATCTATCACATAGTAACACTATCTTAAGGCAGGATCTTCACTGATACAAATTAAACATTGTGTTTGTAGTAAAGGAGAATTTTCAATTTTTGTTAGCAAAATAAACCTATTGAAAAAAAGATAAAAGTTAAAATGCTTCCAGCAAAAAAATTACTAAAAGCCTGATGAAGAAACAGTTAAAGCCTTAGAAACTGCATAAGTCCAAGAAAACTGCAAATGCTGGCTGTCAAGTGAATCTACTTATCCAGTAGAAAGAACTGACTGTTGTTTAAAGTCAAAAAGTAATCAATGAGGAGGAGAAGAGCATCTGTGAATGAGCTGCATGACCTCACGAAGTCAGACTTCTCTATCTCTCTAGATGAAATCTAGAATTAAGCTTTCAGGAAGAGACATCTTCAGGTTGCTCAGTCCTTTTACATTTCTTTGCTGGCTAACTAGCACTTGCTAAGGGAAGACTAACTAGTATGTTTAGTCATTGAGAAAGGGATAACATGTCAGTTCTTCTCCAATGAGAACATCATTTAACACACAGACAGAATCAGTAGAGCCCAGCACATATAGAAAATTTGTGTTTGCATCTGTATCCCCAAAAGTGAGCTACAAATATTTGCACTGACCTTGTGGATGTGGGTACCAGTGGATATCCACAGGTTTGCAGAGTTCTACATACAAAATTTGTATCTGCATCCACATCCATATCTGCGGATTTTGGGGGCTCTACTAATCAAGTAGATCAAGAATCACAGAAGTTATTAAGGGAAGAGAATTTTTGTATGCGCACGCGAGTTGCTCTATTTGTAAAATGGGGATAATGACACTTCTTTGTGAACAACCTGTCAATTCTGTCATTATTAGGTTCCCCAGACACAGGACTCTTCTCTAACACACATTTTTCAGTATTTTGCCCAATACAGAATTCCAGAAGTTACAGCCAGAAAAGTTCAAAGACTCTATCCTTGGAAAGTGAGAGATCAGAGGAAGTTGTGTAATGCCAGGCATTACACAACTGCTCCAGGGGTGGAGTAAACCCTCGAGAGAGAGCGCGCGCAGCATATAGTGCTGCATAGTTTGGGATTTTTATAAGGTTTGCATGGAGCA